AAGGAAATAAAAGTAAATTTGTTGCTTGACATGCTTATTTAATTTTTGCGTTTGCTTCATTTGTAGCTGGAGATGTACAAAAATGATTATGTCTATAACAAGTCTTCAGGATACCCCCACTTTGATATTTCCTTGCCTTCATGTGCTATAGTTTGAAAATGTGATTGGATTTATTTGTTTTTGTTTAGGAATTTCTTTTAAAGGAATTGGTTGTTATTTTTAAAATAATAAAAAAGCTCATGAACTTTACAACTTTACTTAAATAAGCTCTTATATTTTTATTGCATTCAAATAAACCTTGATCTTTAATTTGAACCCAAATAAGCTCTTAACCTTTAATTTGTATTCAAATAAACCTTTAAACTTTTAATTTATACCTAAATAAGACCTTAACATAAATCATTTGTTTATTTGAAATAAAGGCTTATTTGGATACAAATCAAAGTATAAAGCCTTTTTTGGATACAATAAAAGTATAAAGGTGTATTTAAAAAAGTGAAATAAAATAAAGGCCTTTTTAGTATTTTAACCTATTGTTATTCATGAAGATCTTATAGATATTTGAAGACAGAATTGTTTTTAAATAAATATGTATATTGGTATTAGGTAATATTTGATCTTATTCTGGTAATCTTTTTGTTTAGGTATAACTACAATAGCATTTTGGGATATTATTATGACCCATCTATAGGACTATATTGCTTAGTATTATCAGGGCAATGGAAATGTTTTTGCCATCTCTTTTTGGCTCCTGATAGCATTAATATTTGCATTTATACAGGTTCTTTTGTAATCCTAACTCCTAGGTTATAACCACTAACTAATACTTTAACTGTCAATTTGAAAAGTATGGAGAGCAGGTTCCATAGATCACTATACATTGTGGATGCAAATAAATTTCTGTTAAAATCCAAAGAAACCTTGTGATTCATTGCTCGTGTGAATAATATGATACCATGCATAGTCATACTGTTTGCTTTAAGTTAAACTATGCCTCAAGAAGATTAAATGATGGAGTTACTTAACTGCATAAGAAAAATAGCTGAACATGAAAAGCTTATTTTTAAAGTTAAGGTTTTTGTATTAGATTTAGTACATCATTATTAATAGTCTGAAAGAAAATCAATATGATATGAACCAAAGACCCATAAACCACTTAGATTTAGTATGTTATCGTTAATTTTGAAGTAAACTTATAAGATATGAATAAAAATGCATGAAACCCCCCCATTTTAGGAATATTTATTTATGATAACAAGTTATAACCATGGAGAATTCACATGTGAAAAGACACTTTCATCTTTCTAGATTTTCCCATAATGATAGGGAAAAACACATCTAATGAAATCTGCCTGTTTGTGGATCTTTGCTTTGATTTTTTTTTTCCTTAACAGTAAACTTCGTGACTACAAGTGGCTAAGTGTTTATTGATTGAGCCATTCCAAAATCACCTCTAAATGAATAGATTGGCAAGTTGCTACTTGAAAATTATGGGGAATGGTGAGCCAAGTACTTCCCTGTGTATGATTAAAATATAGTAATTTTGGTTTGCTAACCATCCAATATATGTAGATTATTATGATAATTTTAGTTATTTTGCTTTGGTTTTGCAGATTATCATGGGAATTTTCATGCAACATGTTAGTTTGAATGTCTTTAATTATGTCATCAACCTAAGTTTGAAAAGTATTAATTACCTTTTTGGATAGTGTGGCAAATGATATAATGGCTTGGATATTGACAAATGGAAAGCCAATAGTGTGAGGTAATTTTCTCTTAATGATGTATCCTTTAAGCTAATTACTTAGTTGTCTCTTAACTACATAGGTCATATATATAAGCTATTTGTCTTTTTCATCTTTGCCTTGGTCTGCATTGAGAGGTCAGTTTTTTGCCACACTAACCTTTCAAATAACCCTGGAAGATGGTTATTGTCTACTAAGTTGAGGATTGCAGTCATTGTCCCATTATTTACAAGGTTTTGGAGTTTTTTGCGAAGGTAAAAAACCATTAAAAGTTTCTATTGCTGCATGTCTTCCTTATACAAGTCATTTCATAATGGAAAACAGAGTTATTTTTTATCATTTTAATTGTTCAATGCTTTTTATTTTTTTATTATCATTTTAAATGTTTTTATATTTTACAAATTAATTTAATCAAATATTAATAAAAGTCACAAAGCGAAGGTTGAGCATCCATCTAGTATAATATATTTCACTCTATTAAAATATGCGTGTATCTCACTTTCATTACAAAATTTTGTTTTAAGTTAATTTGAAAATATTTAATCTTTAATTAAATTAAAAATGATAATATTAATTAAACAATACAAATTTTAAATCTTAAACTAAACATTTAATCAAAACAAAACTAAAAAATTACTATTCCTTCATCTACTACTACTAAGATTTACTACTTTAAGTTACTAATGACAAAAGTTTCAAAAAAATTGAGTCCATCAAAGATCGGTGCTAACGTCGGTGCTGCACGTTTAGACCCCCTATTTTCTGTCATCCGCATGCAGTCGATGAATCCATTCTTTATCTCATTGAGAACTAACTTGGTAAACCTTGAATTATCCAACTCTGTTGGTTGGGTTGCTGCAGGTTTGCTTTTCACCATCGAGCTATGCGGTAGAGGCAACCTAAATTCATCCCCAAAATAATCAAAGGTTATCCCATTGCTTAATGAACCATATTGTTTGAGGATTATGTGAGCTCACAAAAAATTAGAATCAATGCCACGCAAGTACTAACGCCTGTAAAAGACTTGGAGAATGCAGGAGAATCAAACAAAATTGAAGAGAAGGGTAAGATAGATTATTTATGCACAGATAGACCACCTTCTGTATATAAGGAGGACAAAACATAATCCCAATCCTAAAAGGAATGGGACTTGGCAAGCGGCTATTTTTTGTCAGTTTATTATTTAACAAAATAAAATTTGATATTTGATATTTGATATTTCAATTTTCATTTTATTAGTTTGAAATGTTGACGTGACATAAATATCTAATAAGAAATTAACACATGTCAAAAATTTCAATCAGTATCATATCATCAATGTTACGTCAGCATAAAAAATTTTAAAAAAACTTTTAAAAACTTCTAAAAAATTTTAAAATTTTAAAAAATTCTCAAAAAATTCTAAAACATTTTGAAAATTTCTAAAAAATTTTTAATAAAGTAAAAGAAAATTTCAAAAATTCTAAATTTTTTTAAAATTTTATAAAAAAATAAAAAAATGAAACATTTTTAAAATTAAAAAATTATGATAATTTTAAAAATTGAAAATTTTTGAAAATTTTAATAAAAATCCAATTTTTTAAAAAATGAAAATTTTAATAAAAATTAAATTTTCTTAAAATTAAAAAAATCACAAAACTTAAAAAACAGTAAATTAAAAATGTATAAAATCTTTTGAAAATTTGAAAATATATAAAAAAATTTTAAAAAACTAAAAATTTTTAGAAAAACTCTAAGAATTTAAAAATTTTTTGAAAAATTAAATAATTTCAAAAATATGAAATATTATAAAATTTTTAAAAATAAAAATAACTTAAAAGAAATAAAATCCAAAAAATTCAAAATATTTTTTGAAAAATTCAAAAAAATATATAAAAAATTTAAGATTAAAAAAATGGGAAATTTTTCAAAATTTTTTACAAATTTTATATGGTTTTAGAAATTACTTTGTTTTTTTCTTTAGATTTTTTTATTTTTTTTATTTTTAATTAACAGGGCTTACCTTTTTTTTTAGTGTGGAACTCGCGCCCTCGTTTTGTTATTTTTTTTTTTATATGTTCTTCTAAATTTTTGGGGCCTACTTTTTTTTTTTAATTTTTAAAGTTGTATAGGTCCACATTCTATTTTTTTAATTTATTTTTTGGGTACGGAATCCACACCTAGGTTTATATTTTTCCTCAATAGTTATTTTTATATTTTTTAAAATTTTTAAAGTTGTATAGGTCCACATTCTATTTTTTTAATTTATTTTTTGGGTACGGGATCCACAGTTTATATTTTTCCTCAACAGTTTGTTTTTTAATTTTTTGTAATTTTTTACCTTTTATTGTGGGACCTATATATTTTTAAAATTTAATACAATTGTTATATTTATAAATAATTAAAATTTAATTCATCTGTGTCAAACAATCTTATAGATTAATTGTGCATAGGTATGAATATAAATTGTGTGTCATGTCTCATCTGCATTACTTTTTTTTAAGGTTGACACATGCAATCTTTTTAATTTTTTAAATAAATGTTTTTTAAGAGGTAGGACTCATCTTTAATTTTTTTCCTTGGATCCACTTTGACGCTATGTTTTCTTTTTTCCCCATTTAAATTTTTATGTAATTTATTATAATTCTTTTTTCATTGCGATTCCCTTTTTTTTTTTTTAATGTAAATCTTTTTTTTCATAGATTTTTTCTTTTATATCAGGTGTAATCTTTTCATTTTCCTTTTTAAATGTTTCGTTAATATTTTATATTTTTTACGAAATCAATTAAATAAATTTTATCTATTTTTTTTATTTTTGATATCATTTTTCTCCAAAATCAAATTATCTTGAATTAAAAATCAAATATTTACTAGTAAAATTTCGAGAAAAAATGCATGAATGTTCAAAAATCAAATACTTTCTAAAAATTTTTAAAATTTAAATATTATATTGAATATTTTACTATAATTTTAAGATCATTCGAGACATTAACCTCAAAGTGAATATATTCTATCATAAGAAGAATAATTTACTGTCTAGTATCTACCAATAGAATATCTCGTTAAATTCGCGAATTCCCTTGCTAGATGATGATGATGATGATAATGCATATGTTCTGCATAATATATGTGGTTATGGTTTAATCTTTTGCTCCTTGATGTATGAACTGTCTTCTCCTGCCATTGCCGAGGCTTTGGGGGAGTATTTTGAGAGAGAACATCTGATTCTCGGGCAATCTCCTGTTCTTGTTCATGTTTCATTTGTTATCTCTCCATCTCTCCAGTTGCCACCAAGAGAATATAATACATCAAAAATGAAAGACAACGACAGAATTGGGAATCTATAGATTCAAACAGCCTGTAAACATTCTAAAGACAAGCCTTTGAAGGGAGAAAAAGGAATTTTAAAAGGAGACAAAGGACAAAGGGCATAGTAGCTAGTCAAACATTATCTGGCCAAAACTCCCTAAAAAAGGCTCGCTCGAATTCCTTTTCTTGCTGATGCTTTTCCCGTTCTTGCATCTTCCGCATCCTTTTGGAAACTGCCTTGGTCTTCTTTGAAGATGTCTGTTCCTGAAATTCATAGCAATTACCAAATGACATCAGTACCATTGGAGCAAAGGAAAAGAACAAAAACATTCAGAGCCAAGAGAACACGAATCAACAATGCTATTTTTTTGTACTTTAAATTACAATGCTGTTGTTGACTGTCCAACACAACGCTATTATGGAGCATTGCTTTACTTAATCATGTGATATGTTTCAATATTAAAAATATTTATCATAACCCATCTAGCTTCTAATATGGAAAATATATTGTAGTAGTGAAAAGAATGAAAGTTAAGTCACCTCATCAGCTTTTCCCTTGGAATCAGTAGTAACAATAGGCTGTGGTGTCTTTCTCTTCTTCTTCTCTGCTCCCAGGCCTCTTTTATTGTTCTTCACATATGCTTGTACAGGCTCTAATCTACCCTAAGAACATTAAGTAAAATAGAACAATCTAAAAATCAGATGAAAATAGTTTGAAAGAGACATAAAATTTCTAATATTTCTACCCATGGTAAAGAGTTTAGGGGTTTCAAAATTGAATCAAACCTGCTCAGATATACCAAGACCAGTGCCTTCTTTCCATCCATGCTTCTTCAATAGCTGCCAAAACAAAAACAATAACCCCAAAAGTAAAAAAAAAAAAAACCATTAAAACACGATTCTAAAGAAAAACAAGTTATTGTGAAACCCTCGAGGCTTGCTTCATTGAGATTGAATACCTGGAAACCAATGTTGGAGGAGTCAATGGCGATAGAAGAACCGCTCGAACCCAACGCCTCTCCCATTACTTTCCTCCCGAAACCAGTCAAGATAGAGAATTGCCGCTTTTCTCTTTTCTGCCTTTCGTTTTTCCAATTCTTTCAAGAGGTTGAGAGTTGTGTAGGATTACGAAGAAGAATGTTTAACACTACGAGGGGAATGAAAAAAAGGAAACGAAAATAAAGGAAAGTAATAAAAATAAAAAAAAAATCATAAATTTTTAATTTACAGAAAAAAAAAAAAAGCTAAAAACTTAATAATTTTTTATTTTTTTAATACCTAAGTTTGGGAAAAAAGTTAAGAAAAAAAAAGTTGAAAAATTTTTATTTTATAAAAAGATTATTATATTTATTTTTTTATTAATACTAAAAATCTAGTAAAAAAATTTAATTACATCACAATCTTAAATTTTTTCAAAGCTTTTTTTTTTTGTAAATTTCACATGTTTTTTTAATATAAAAATTTTAATAATTTTTTAGTAATTTAATTTTGATAAATGATTGAATATGAATAGACATATTTTTTAAATTTATGAAAAGTAATATTTTTATATGATTGTATTTTTATATTTAATAGATTTTATATGAATATATCACCAAAGTGATAATATGTTGAAATTTTGACAATTATCAAAAAATTCATTAATGTATATTTATAAAACATGTTTTTGTTTTATTTAATTAAAAACTATTGATATATAACTATTGATATATAAACAATTATAAGGTCATACAAGATAGTAAAACATATTATAATTTAAAAATATTTTAAAATCACAGACAATAAAATATTATAATTCAAAAAAATTATTGTAATAAATTATTTTTTTTTTTTATTTTTATCCAAATAATTATTGTTAAAATTTTTTTTATTAATTTTAATTATCTAAATAAAATATACATATATCATTTTTTTAACTTTTTTTTTCTTCTATTAATATTTATCCAAACAATGCTTAAAATTAGACGGATGCTAGTCTTCGAATGGCTTCATTTTTTTCTTTGGTAAGTTTTTCTGTTTTTATATCGGCTCCTTTTTGGGCTCTTTTGGGCCACGGAAAAGTGCTAGCCCATAAGTAAAACTGACATTTCGTTCCCGAGTGTGGAGGAAGAACAATCGGCCAGTAGTTAACAATAAGCCCATCAACTCGAAAAGAGAATTTGCGTGGTCTTTTTATTTTGAGATAATAGTCAAATAACTACTTAAATTTTTATAATAAAAATTGAAATTGAAATTGAAAATGAATTTTTTATTTTTTATTACATAAAATTCAGATTATAATTTTTTTAATAATTATACCAATTAAAAGTAAAAAATAATGGCGAAATAAATAAAATTAAAAAATATGAATAAAATTTAATTATTTATCAACTAAAAAATTATAATAAATATTTTTTAAATTAACATCCCTTCAAATATTTTTCAACTAAAAAAATTATAATAAATATTTTTTAAATTAACATTCCTTCAAATATTTTTCAACTAAAAAAATTATAATAAATATTTTTTAAAAATTACATCAGTCAACTAAAAAATTTTTGAAAAAATATAAAAATTTTTATAACGTCAATATATTAACATGAAATAAAAATTCATAACTTAATTTTATATAATAAAATATTTTTTATTTTTTTTTTAATAAATATTATAAACTTATTTGAGTATTATGTCTTTTATTTTTTATAAAAAAAAAAAAACATTCTACCTAAAATCTTTATAAAAAAAACTCATTCAGCCTAAATCACATAATTCATTTGTTATAAATTTATCTTTCTTATGTTGATAAAAGTAATATTAACTCACTATTTTTGTTTCATTTATGGCTCTTATATTTAATTTTTTTACACGATATACCTTTATATATTGTTTTCTGTTTTTTTTTTTTATTTTAATTCTCCTTAGCTATGTTAATATGAAAATTTCATGTCATTTTCAAATTTATATTTTAAAGTTATATAAATAATAAAAAAATTGTTACAAATTAAATTTATTTTAAAATTAAATATAGTAATAAATTTATTCTAAAACTATAAATATAATGAAAATTTTATACCAAATAATAAATTTAAATAATAAATAAAATTATAAAATTATAATTTTTTGGCCAGTATAATTTATTTTCAGTTATTTATTTATTTATCATATTACGCTAATAATAGTGTTGCCAAAAGAAAAAAAAAAAGCCAACGAAAAATAATTAGGGTAAATACCAGTGAGAGACGCTGTCGTTTTCACAGCCTTTTTATGCTTTTTTCGCCATCTTCGTTAAAATGAAAACAAAAAAAAAAAAAAAAACGCCCAGATCTGTTTGTTGGTTTGTTTGTTTCGCTCAATTGTTTAAACGAAACACGGACGAAAAAGCAAAAAGAGGGAAAAAAAAAGGAAAGGAGCGTCCATTGAAATTTTCTTCTCGCTGTCTCTCCTCTGGTTAAAACCCTAGATACAGGGAGAAGACACAGCAAACGAAAAAGAATTCAAATTTCGAAGAGAAGAAATCGATGGATTTGGATCAGTGGATAGCAAAGGTTAAAGAAGGCCAGCATCTTTTAGAAGACGAGCTTCAGCTTCTTTGCGAATACGTATCTATTCACTCTCTTTTTCTTTTTCTTTTTTGGGGCCCTTTCTACTTCTAGGGTTTTAAAATTTGTTACGTTTTCTTCATGTTTATATTGATGCGTAAAACTAGGGTTTCTTCTGCTTCTTTTGGTGATTGAGAAATTGAGAGAAATTCGAAAATGAATGTTTGAGTTGTTAATGGATCAAGAACTGCTAGAAATTGTCAAGTTCATGTCTGTTTTTGAAGCTTGTCGCATCTGTGCATTTTTTTTTTGAAATTATAGTGCTTACTTTCTATGGCATCACCTGTTAGTATTGCTTCTAAAGAATTTTCACATAACTGAGTTATTTTGAATAAAAACAGAGCTTTCCTGAGCTGCAATAACTTGCATTTCCTGGGATTTATGTTTTGAAGAATCATATGCATTTGCATTTACTGTTATATTAGTTATTGTATTTAGTTTCCATGTTATTCGTTTTAGTGGAGTAATTTGGTCGTTGCTATATTGTCAACTTGCAGTTTTATTTGCTATGAAGGTTTTTTCTCTGTTTCATTTCATCTGAATGCTGTTCGTTATATACTTTATTATGTAAAACGTTACAGGTAAAAGAAATCCTCATTGAGGAGTCGAATGTGCAACCTGTCAATAGTCCAGTAACTGTCTGCGGTGATATCCATGGCCAGTTTCATGATCTAATGAAACTTTTTCAAACAGGAGGTCATGTTCCAGAGACAAATTACATTTTTATGGTATGGTTTATATCTTCTATTTGGAAATTTTTCTGAAAGTTTATTTGATGTCGATGTCTATTATAGATTAGTGATTTCAACTAACGGGCGCTAAGCCTTTCTGTTCCCTTGGACAGGGAGATTTTGTTGATCGAGGTTATAATAGTCTTGAAGTTTTCACCATTCTTTTGCTTCTTAAGGCAAGGTATGCCCTCTGGATACATGCTTAAGTATCTCTATAACTTTGCTTGGGTTTTATCTACTGATTTTCAACCATGTACCTGGGTGCATTGTTTCTCTGCTTGTGACTTGTTCCTGCTTCACTATCTGATTACTGGCCCAATTTTCAGACCTCTAATGTACAATGTGCCCTTAGGTTAAAGTGTATCTGATCATCAGCAACCATCTTATACAGTTTCAAATTGTAGTTTGGTATAGGAAGAAAAAAAAATGCTCATTCTTATTTATTTTGAAATTAATACTTTTTCCTACTTCAGGTGAAAAGGTCCTTTTGAAGCTATCATGGTGTTCTGGCACCACGATGGCAGGATATATTGTATACATTGTCATTCTTGCATTTCGAGGAAGCATTTAATAAGAATATTAAATTTCTGGTTTTGTTTTTGGCCTGTTAGGTTATAAAATCCTGTTTCTTGTTTGAAATAAGTGGTAATATCACTTTATGTGCTCTGAATCACAGGTACCCAGCTAATATCACTCTCTTGCGTGGGAATCATGAAAGCAGACAGCTAACGCAGGTTTGCTTTTGAATACCACAATGGAATATGCTTGTAGAGAGCTTATGGAATGCATACATATCATGTGTGATTATAGGGATGTTAGACTGCTTTTTCTGTTTTCTTTCTTTGAGGCTGTCTGTTGGCCTGCTTAAAGCTTGGATACAGTTCCATGATTACTTTTTTTTTTTTTTTGAGGGAAAAGGGGATTGAAAGCCTTTCTAAGGACACATTACTGAAAATCTAAGGTTAAATTTTAAGACTAGCGTACTGTATGTGAGGATCAGGATTATTGGAAGTTCTCTTTGCAGTACCATATTAGTTTGGTTTTTAGGGTTGTTGAGTAATGCTGTAAAGCTGGAATTTTTTAAAAAATCATCCCAAATACCAAGGGCTGACATTTTTTGGTGTGTATATGTCTTTACTAGGTTTATGGTTTCTATGATGAGTGCCAGAGGAAGTATGGAAATGCTAATGCATGGCGGTATTGTACAGATGTTTTTGACTATCTTACGCTTTCTGCAATTATAGATGGGACTGTAAGCATTCTTTCTCTAAACCCTCTATATCTAAGCACCTTACTGACACCTCTTTAATAGTCCTATTATTTTTTATTTTGCAGGTGCTGTGTGTACATGGTGGCCTTTCTCCTGACATACGAACAATTGATCAGGTGTTTTTCATTTTGGCTTAGCTTTTGGTTTACTGGCATGTGTATTTCCTGCTATACTTGAAGTTCTCCCAAATTTTAGTTTTTTTTTTTTTTTTTTTTGGCTAAGCACCCAAATTTAGTTTATCATTTATTGTGTTGCTTGTATATGTCATGTTCTGTCTTTATAGAGTATTTGCATATAACTGAGATATTTCTTTTGATCGCTACTTGCATATGTTGAAGTTTAAGCTAGTTTTCTTGTAGCAAAGCATGAATAATTATGTAGTAAGCTGGTGTGATACATCTTGAGTAATCAAATAAAAGCAGGGCGTGTATGGAGGCTCTTTTCTTCTCTTTCTTTCAGGGGAGGACAAAATTATAGTCAACAGAAACTGAGTAAAGTTTTAAGAAATAATGGGGAAGGTTATAGTTCTTTTTTTTAT